GCTGGACACACACACACACCTACACACACCTACACACACACACTTACTTCCAGAACTCACTTACTCTTCTTCTCTCTTTCTTTCCTCACCATGTTGTAGTTAACCACACTTTGTGACTCAGAGTTATAATATACTAGTCATCCATCTGTCACTGAATGACATGCATACCTTGTATAGGGATATATATATGTGTATTTGTGTGTGTGTGCGTGTGTGTTAGCTTTATTACACTGTGCTCCAGTATGAGTGTGTATTCCTGGTGTGTGGGGTCATTTCCTCTCTGCCTGCCTCTGAATCACACCGAAGGAAACAAAAGAAAACTAAGAGAATCTATCTTAAAGGTACAGGTTTGTGCTCTTCTATCCTCCGAAATAAGATCACTGCACAGGAAAAAGAGCTCAACAAAACAACATAATGAAATTAAACATTTAAAGCTCAGTCCAGAAAAAATCTATTCAGCATGTGATCAAACCTCGGCAGTTTTCCAGTGGCTGTGGTTAGTGTAGACCCCCCATAACCCCACGCTGGGTGATGAAAAGAGATATTTATAGCAACAGGCAGATGTTACACCACATCAACATCTACTTCATAACAAGCTCTCCTGCGTCTAGTCACAGCTTTTAAATCAATCCAACTTTTGTCAGAATGTCTATAAAGCTGATTAATGGAGCTGCACTTGAATGATTCAGCCTCTGAGAAAGTAATTATTCTACTTTTGTTAGAAATGGTTACAGTACACAATTTGAAGAGCAGTAACTCAAACTATTTACAAAGCATACGCTTTCTTTTTAGATAATGTCAGGTTGCTTTTACATTTGAAAGTACTTGAAAGTGTTTAGTCGGATAACCTTTAAGCTTTGAGGTTAATCACATAGTTTAAAACAAAAGCAAAAAAAAGAAGAGCAAGCTACAGTAGCACAGAGAGCAAGTTTTTCTAGAGTTCATGAAAATCTGCCTCGTCAAGTAAAAACCCTCTCCTTTGTGTTGGCCATCAAAGAGGAAACAGACAGGAAGTGGCTGCCACAGGAAGTCCAGGCACGAAGAAGACTGCTCCCCTGGAGACCGCTGGGATCACAGCTCAGCATACACAACATCACGGTCAGCAGAGTTTATCTCTGCCGGCTAACTGCTCTTTGTTAAAGAAATTCAGTTGGTGGTCTGGGTTGCCAACTGGTAATGTTTCTAAAGTTTTTACAGAGATTAGTTTATTAGCTTTGGCTCATATGTTTGTTGGCTTCTATATTTTATACATTATCATCATGAGATAGACTAGACAAAATACTTTAAGCTTGCAATGACAGATGGCAAACTTGGCTACAAGCTGTGAACACAACACTGACATATTATCAGCTTTTAAGCTAATACAGCAAACAGTTTCCAATTTACACATCTCCCAGACATGGAGCAACATTATCATTCATTTGGAGTTGTGTTTTAGGCCATCTGATGAATGTATGTCCAATATTCTCTCTCTCTTCAGTTTCCACTCCACTATGTTCACCAGCTGAAAACAGCCTGTGGCCGAAAATAACTCTATGAGAGGGAACCAAAGCAATAAAGTTGTGGGCCAAAAAAACAAAACAATGACCTGAAAGAGGTTAAAACGCTGAGGGGAACTTCAGAGTGGACTGATAATAACTCCACATGCACTGTATATGATAGGTGTCATACAATAAAAACCCATATGAATTCATTTCCATTGTAAATACAAATATATTGACTATTACGTCCAAAACAATGTGCATATTTTTCCTACGTATAAAAATTAGACTGTGTTACATAGAAGACTGGTGGCATATGTATCCATGTACTGGATATCTAAGACTTTTTTCCCCCTACATGGTAAGTTAGTGGACAGCAACATGAGCTAGTTTCTAATTTTAAAGCAGCGTAACATATGAAACACAGAGCACAAAGCCATGAAAATCAGAGTATGCATGTCGTCATTCAAGCCAATACACCATCTGATTTTACTGATCAGCTTTAGAAGCAAAGTGGCATTCACTCTGCCACAGCTGGAGATGATACTCTCTCAGCTCTCCATGGTCGTCTTTGCTTTTTTTTACTGATGAATTGCATTTCCATCCATCCAAGGGTATTTAGTGTTGGTGACCTGCGGTGATGCTGGTGGTTACATCACTGTTGTAGCCTGAGTGTAGAGCCAGAATCATTGTGCTGCTACATTTGATAAAGTGATTCAACCATTTGGTGTAAACTCACCATTAAATGATAGATCAGGTTTTTGTCTGACAAGCCGATGGTTGGCTGCGATTTACAGGACTACATTTGATTAAACATATTAAATTTAAAACCAGAAACTGCCGTTCAGTGCGGTTAAACTGATCCAGCGCGAAGGTAAACAAATGCCAGACAGTGACCAGTAACCACCAGCTACATTAGTCCCGAGAGAAATTTACAAAAAATCAATGATGTTCATGCATTGATTTGTAAAGTCCTCCTCCACTCAATTGTGGTCTTTATATTGTTACTCCCTTTGGATGTTTGAGCTTCACTGTGCATGATGGATGTGCTTACTTAAATCTTAAATCTGAGTTTAACACATGGACGTAGGAGCGTGATTTTGTGAATTCACAACTAGTTTGGAAGCCAACAGTGTTTCAACATGCAACTTCATTTTGCAACATAATATCAGCACATTCATAGATTGTGGATCTTTCAATTAGAGTGAAGGAGTGGATGTAATATTAACAATGTTGGTAAAACCGTATTAGACACAAATAACTATTCAAAGCAGAGTAGTTTTATGTGTCTTAAAGCATGTGTGGTGGTGATCTTTAACAATATTAAAATACATTAGGCTAGCACTTAAGCACTGTTGTTAAAGTCTGAGCCGACCTCTGTTTGGTCTTTTGCTGCCATGTGTTTCAAGATCACATGATACCAACATGGAGACACATCAGGACAAAAGTATGGTGACAGTAAAGCTGCGCTCTGACATTTACAACACACCCACTCATAAAACTCCATGTGTACAAATGTCAGTCCACATCTTTACAAAGCCTCTTAAATCCCATTTGTTTTCTTTGGCTTTCTTTTAATTACATACATTTCACATAAAGGTGCTTGTTTTTAAAAACTACCATCTCTCTGAAAAGTGCTATATGAATATGCGCTTCATGAGTATGTATGTGTACGTTTTAGGGCTTATGCAAATCCGTCTCTGTGAAGTTTCAGCACAAACTTTGAGCTCATGAGAAAATTGTTACATCTAAGCATCACCAGATTCAAACCATCACTCATCTGTCCAAACTAGGCCAAACAAGACTCTGAGGAGTGGGTATGAATTGGGCCACAGTTCTCGGCTGCGCTGGGAGCTGAAACTGTGTCACCAGAGGAATGGGGAAAAAATACGGCGGCAGCAGCAGTGTGCTAACAGCCGCAGGTCTTGTTGAACTAAGGCTTTCTCATATGTTGCTGTCCTCTACCTTGTGTAAGTCTCTCCACCATTTCATGCTCTCTGAGGTCAAAACAAGAGTCATGTGCAGCCCTATTTGGCACTCGCTGCTGGATCAATGGGTGTGATTCATATGTCTGTCTCTTTCTAAGTTTGTCTGTCTGTGTGTGTAGCATCAGAGTAGTGTACATGGAGGAGGAGCTGTTAAAAGCATTCATTAGGAGCTGGAGTAAACCTCTGGGCTGAGAGCAGGCTGGAATTACTCTTTATGAGGGCAGGCCGCCAGAGCTGCTTCCAGACCACACTGAGGACAGGAGACAGGCCAGAGCTGGGATACATGTAGTCACGTATAAAGAATGATTACTGACACACATATCCATATGAAAACATCGGCAGTGTTACTGTCAAGAAAAGCAAAACATAAAAGTTCACTGACAATAACTTCAAGAGCTGAAACATTTAGTCGATTAATCAATTAGTTGATCCACAGAAACTTAACTGGTAACTATTCTGACAATCAGTAACATTAATAATGGATTATGTGAATTATCAAGCTTCTCAAGGGTAGAGATTTGCCATTCTTCCTTGCCTTGTGTGTGAGAAACTGAATATCTTTTGGATTATTGACTTTAGGTTAGAAGACATTTTAAGAGACATCCCTTTGGGCTTTAGGAAAGTGTGACGGGCATCGTTCATCGGACATTTTATAAACCAAGAGATAAACTGTTTTTCCAGAAAAAATGCCAAACATTCCCTGTTACCATGTGTGAGTTGAGGGGATTTGCTTCTTTTTAGTTTTATGTGATAGTAAACTGAATATATTTGGAGTTTGGACAGAAGATGTGTGATGGGCATTAATAACTTTTCCTGACATTTTATGGACCAAGATATTGGAAAAAACACCAAACACTCACTGTTTCCAACTTTTCAGTTGCAAAGATTTGATACTTTTCCTCATCCAATGTTATTGTAAACTGATGATTTTTTTGGTTTTAGACTGTTGGACTGAAAACAAGCAATCAAAAGACACCACCTTGGGCTTTAGCAAAGTGTGATGAGCATATATTTTGATATTTTAGAACTAAATTGATTGAAAGTAAGACAAATAGTAAGAAGTCTTTGTGGTAGTGGAAACTGCTGATCTGTTACAGATTGGACACTGCCATCAACACTGAATTGTGCATTAAAACTTTCTTTTAACATTATAACATTTTGTATTTTTATATTGTTTTGAAGGGTTGATGTCAGCTGCAGTCCTAAAATTAAGTTACAACACATCAAAATGCCATCAAACTGTAGAGGCTGACAGTTAAGAGACAGAGCGTTACATAATAGGTCTGACCTGACTTATGCAGTGGGGAGTAATTGACATTAGGTATGCAACAGGTTAAATCACTGACACTGTGACATGAGCAGTAATGTAGAGGATCTGACCTATGAACTGCAGGTAGACATAGAGATGTAAAGAGAAATACAAAGATGAACCTAAAATAGAAAAGAGTTATCAGTCTTTCTATTTTGGGTGAACATTTTTTATTAAATGTCTTATTTATAGAATAGAAACAGAAGAACTATTTCTGTTTCTATTTAATAAAACAAAGGAGGGACATTTAAGAGAGTAGTTTAACTGGGGTTGTCTGTAACAGTGGGTCTGTTATTTACAAAACAGTCCCGCCAGTAAACCCCCAGGTCCAACTCATCATCAGTCCACATTATTACACATGTTGGATGATTATCTTAACAATGTTTTCCACTAATCTAATCCAGAGATGAAGACGATTAGGAGGCGCCACCTACCCGAGCCGAAAGCCTTGGCCACCAGCCACGTCAGGCTGCATGATATCTTGGCCCTGGTAAAGTCATAGTGATCGAAGCTCTTGATGGCAGGGACGATGAAGGTCCGTCTCATCCCTCTGTCGTCTGCCGCATCTCCCATCTTATCTCTCTCGGGATCCCGCTTAGGGGCTTCACTGCAGCGGGAGGATCAGTCAGCTTGAGGAATTCCTCCTGACTGCGGATGACATCCCGTCCAGAGGAATTCAATGCAGCAAAAATTTCCCCCTTCTCCAGAAAAAAAAAAAACTTTGAGCGTGGCCTTGATTGTTGGAGAGCACGACGAGTTGGGTTGACCAAAAAAAAAANNGGGGGGGGGGGGCGCTACATGAGCACCATCCTCCAGTTTTAAACGTTTCAGGAATATCCTTACACCGTGACAGCACAGCGCAGTTCAGAAGCAGGAATTCTGAAGATTTCCTCCATTCCCTGACATTATTATCCTCAGGTTGTCCGACATAACGGAGCAGCTGTGCGGCGGAGGAGGACAGCTACAGCCCCGAGCACCGGAGCACGGCTTCACACATCAGCGAAAGACGCCGTTCGTGTCCATGTTGTTCTTCCTTTTCTTTTCCCAACTGTTTCTCTCTCTCTCTCTCTGTCTCTCTCTCCTTGTATCTCTCCGCGGCGTCTTCTCTGCGCTTTTCCTGCCGCACTGGTCGGAGGATAGAGCGCGCATGCGCGATCCACCCACCCAGTCTGTTGAGTCCTGACAGGAGTCATAATGTAATCCAAACCGAGGTGGAGTTCACTGGCAGGAGAGGTTCTGACTAACTCCCAGATGTTGTTTCCACGAAGAGCTGCAGACAGAAATACTTTCACAGAATATCTCTGGATATAAGGAAGAAGAAGACTTATATAATGCATTATTCTATAGTTTTTAATAGCTGGGTAGGCATTGTTGTATACTTTGAGTCTAACCCTCCTACTTTACAGATATGATTAATTTAATTATAGGCTACTATTAGAGAAAAAGCACATATATAAATCTAAATGTTTTTGTTTAATATCACTTTATTATTATTATTATTAATATTGATTCCTTGACAGCAGTAACTAATAAAAACAAAGTCAGAAGTACCATAGTACCAAGTGTCTTTTTTATTCAATTTTATTGATTTACTTGGTCATTTATCAATTATTTAAATTTTTTTAGTATTCTGACATGAAACATTAACAAGGTAGGGATTGATTATTATAACATTACTAATTATTGTACATTGATTCTGTCAAATGTGTTAAAGAAAAGGAAATCAATGTTGATTTTAGACTTAAGCAAAATGTATTTATTGTAAGACTTTAGACGTTTACACCGGGGAGATACTGTATGTACTAACTCCACTACAGTTTTCTGGTAGAACTGGTGTATCTCCAGATTGTCAATGAAACCAGTATCGATTTTGCTTCATCACAATGAATTTAAGAGCTACAGGCATGAGGTACAGTTTCTTTAAAGATGTGGCGAGCACTGACTGAGCAGGAGACAAAATGATAAAAGGACGCCAGGGCCTCAGGGGTGTTAGGCTGAATTAGGGCACACACACACACAAAAAATAGTCCGTCTAGGTTGTTAACCTGGCTGATGTAGAAGCAGCTCTGAGCAGTTTTTATGACAGTCTGGGATAAATGAAGCATATCTGTGGACCCTCAGATGAAAAAAGTGAGGGGTATGACACAAATATACTTAATTATTTACCCTCTCACACCATGACATTCAAGTGCTCCTCTGATGTGAGGTTAGGCCAAAAATGAAACATCCCTTTAAAGCACAGACATAAGCTGTTCATTCACATTCTGGAGCTACTGTACAGTGACAATATGACACATTTAGTTTAGATTCACAAATCTGGATTCGCTTGTACTATTAAGAACATCCAAATACACTTCTACACCTAATCACCAAAATAATGTTAACTAGTCAATTATTTTAATTTTAATTCCAAGTACATTTTATTTCAGTACTTGTTCACTTTAACTTGTGTAGAAAGTGTGACTGCAGGATGCATTTTGCATTGTGGTATTGCTGCATCTACTTAAGTTAAAGAAATTTAATACAGCAACAGTATACTGTCAATGGGAGAGACTAAGGGCATCACTTATATCATCATTCTCCATATGGATGGGACAACAGTAAGAATTAGAAAAAATTATTGATAAAGCACTGCCGAAAACAAGGCTACCAAGTGCATCAGAAAACATCAGAAAAACTACAGAAACAAAAATATTTGCAAAAATGAACAAATACTAATGATGAGATGAAAGAAGAGTAAAATCTACAGAAAATGACATGTTATAGAAGTGTTTTTTACCTGATCTCCTCAGGTAGTTTGTTTTACTGCTTGTCCTCATTTTCTGTCTGAACTATTAAAAGCAACGTGTCTGAGAAGCTCAGTGTGCAGTTTGGCTCTTAAACAAAATGTCAGAAATATGTGAATAGGTCCCAGTTAACCATCAACCTGAGCTGATCAATAAAATCTTACAATCGATTTGATAATTTACATTTTACTGGCAATCAGTGATGTTCATGTCTTCAACATGAACATTAACAGACTGCTGCTGTTGTAATCAGATTTACAATTATTGTCATACCAAACTGTACCTTCACATAATGATTTAAACACCATGAACACTTGGAAATAAAAGGAAAATATGAAATTAAGATTGCATCTATTTTAGCTCTCAGATACCAGAGCAGTACTGCTATTGGATGACACTGAAGAAGTTCCTGTGAAGGGCAATGAGGAGCAATGAGGAGAAATGAGGTGCGTGTAACGGCACTGCTCCCTAGTGCCTGAAGTGGGTTCATACAGCTTATGAGATCAGGAGTATGTATCACATATCGGCCAGTAGATGGCAGTCCTCTGCTAAATATGAATCTGAAACACTGTTCTGCTCAACAGACACTTAATTTTTTCCTGCGACAGTTTTATTGAATTGTCTTTCCCCAGCAGTGAAACAATCTGCAGTGAAAACCCCTCAGTGGTTGTTACATTTTAGTGTTCAGAAAACATGATTATTTCTTTCAGCTTCTACAAATAAATTGACTCCAGAAAATGTTTTTTTTGTTCTTATTTTTTTTAGAGAGAGAGAGGGAGTTTAGGGCTCATCATCATCACTGTGTGCACCTCCACTCAAGTCCACAGTCATTTGAGAGTCATTACCGATCATGATGTACTTAGCATGTTCAATATGAATATTTGGTTGTTGTTGTTGCCACCAAGCCCTGCCGTCAGCACCGTCCAGTTCTGGAGGCACATTGGGACGGAGAAGAAGTTTTTGTGCCACTAAAAGCCCGAGGTTCTCTGTCTCCAGTGACTCCACTGCTTTACACTCCTTGAGCATCTGCCTTTGGTGCTGGTTTAAATGCTTTAGTCTCTCCTGTTTCTCTTTCTGCCTTTTCACCTCCTGCTCTTCAAGCCAGTGTTTCTTCATTTTTTTAATCCTTGCTGGAGTCAAGGACTTTTGTATTTTTCTCTCAAAACTCTTGCTCTCTACGAGTGGAACTATCCCCTGCAAAACCAAAGGGATGCTCTGTCTGGGCATGCAATTCTCCTGTGGCAGCAGAGGGATAACAGTGTTGTGCTTGTGTTTTTTGTTTACGGAGTTGATAAGAGCAGAGTTTGTCTCTATCTCCTGCATGTGATTGTTGAAGTTGTGGGTGAGCAGCAGAATAGTAAAAGCTGTGTTGTTGATAGCATCCTCCACACACCTCAGACTGCACTTCCCAGCGGTGGCAAACTCCTCAGAGAAAGTTGCCCCTTCGTCACCAATGACCTTTGACAGTTTTTCTCTAATGGTCTCGGCCATCTCTGCATCCTCTGGTGCATGCAAGATAACAAATGGATAAAATGTAGCCTCCTCCTCGTCTTCTTCTGCACCGTTACTCACAGGCATCTTGGGTAGGATGATGTTTGTTGCAGTAGGTAGTGCAAAATTTGGTTCAGTAGTTGGTTTGGTGGTTCGGATTGGAGTCTCATTCAGAGTGATATGACTGTCCAACTTACTGGTATCTGTGGCAGATGTTTCATCCATCCTTGCGTGTTTCTTTGCTCCAAACATAAGAGGTTCATTGGATTTCAGCTGAGGCTCCTCAGATTTCTGAGATTGCCCAGGTGCATTTTTTTCTCCACTCGCATGGATGTTGGATTTTTCTGGAGTTCTTTTGACATCTCGAAATAAGGCCGTTGGAGGTATACTTATCTCTAGATGAGTAGGGTATGAGGGCATCAAGGAGGTCGCTTGCAGTGGGCTGGGCAGACTGTGAGCTCTGTCTGACTGATCCTGGGTCACTTTCAAAGTTGTGTTTTCTTCACTCAGGCTGCTGTAATGGTCACGGTAAGACTCTGACTTGAGATCTGTGGGGGAGCACATCCACTCTACAAACTGTGGCCCACACACAACTTTAGCTTCCTCACCTAGTCGATCATACTCCAGATCCTCACAATTGCTTGCTTTTTGGTCGTCACTGGAAAGAGCTCTCTTATATGCCAGGTTTCTCAGAAGTGGATCACACAGCCTCTGTTCTGACAAAACCTTGAAAATGCGAGCCAACGTTACCAAAGATTCTCCTGTAAACTCCTGGAAATTACTGCAATGAACGGCAAAATCTTCTAGTTTACCTCCACTCATCTGACATTTTTCAGCCAGATGTTTAGCGAGGTAGTTGTCCCTCAGAGACTGGAGTTTGTTCAGGGCCTGTGCCTCCTTCTGGAGAACGATCAGACACAAGGCATGTATGATATTATCTTCAGGAGACTCACCCAGCTGGAATGTCAGGCTAAGCAGTCGCTCCTGAGGTGCTTTAACTAGTATGTCAAAGACATCTCTCAGTCCTGTCCCCTGAGTTTCTTGTCCTCCGTGACTCATTTTCTGTTTTACTTGAAACTCAACCTCCAGCCGATGACAAGAGCTGATAGGATCACATCTTATTTACCAACATATTCGTCTTCATTTCGTCAAAAACTTGAGTTGTTGGAGAGAGAGGTGCACAATTCCAAGGACATTCTTGTATCTGTAAAGAACATGAGAAGTTATGTACCATGGTATATTACAACATCAACATGTATGGTCACAACATGATGGTCTTTTTGTACTTAGACTATGTGTTTAAAAAGTTGTACATTTGTTTGCATATGCAGCCAAAATTACATTTATTGATCACACTTTGTATTGTTCCACTGAGCTCAAACTGACCTTTAAACTGATTTGATTTGAAACACTAAATCAATAAAAAACTTTAAGACAGTGACTCACCAGCCAGGTGTTCTAGGCGAGCCTCAGTGCTTCCAGCTCAAATAAGGAAGTCACTCAGACTCTCTAGTTCAGTTTAACCAGAAGAAAACTACTTTCCCTTAACTTAGTGCAATTCTGACATCGACCACAGAACACGACCGAGTGTGGAGAGTCTGGTCAAACTTTTGGTAAGTTTATCAGTAACCGTACCTGGGTCAGCTGTAGGCCCCTGCTACCACGGAACACTTTCGTGCAGCATAATGATGATGTCACAGAGTGTGAAGTAAGGGAGCCCATGAGGGACAAAAGGCAAAAGCACGAAGAACCATTCATGACTGAAAACTTAGTTCTCCACATAACCAAATATGTTAAGAGATGCTATAAGTAATAAAAACATTCGCCAGAATTGCTGCTAACCTCTTAAACATATTCTTTGTGACACTCTATCAACTCTAATGTACTTAAATTTCTCACAACATTGCAAA